ATCCCTAATGTCTCCTTCACCATACCTCGGTTGCTCCTTAGTGCTCTCATATCAGACAAGAGCAATTAATTCCTTCTTTTCTCCTCTGGAGTCAAAAATGTTGTAAAGCATCTAACTGTTCACTAACTTGATTGCCTAAGAATACAGTCGGGATCCAGAATCCTCTAGGGAACCAAGATTGGAGGTAACTAGAGGTCAAAGTTTCATTTTTCACTTTCTTCAAGCCTCCGTATACACCTTGCACTTACCTGCACCCAAACCGGGCTGTGTGGGGACTCCTGGGAGGGGAGAGGTGGGGTGGGAGGGGCCAGCCAGGAGTGGGATCTGAGGGTCCTCCAAACTGCACAGAACCTTAGCTAGGGGCTCTCCTGAACCCCTGCAAACCCCGAGCAGCCCACCCCTGGTTTCCATCCATTTATAGCAGAACAATAATACTGACCGTGTATTTCGTGGCCATGAATACAAGGATGTTCACCTATATTGGTTTCTCATCTTCCTCCGTATTGATGCTCCAGCACAAAGGAAGCCCTGGTTCAGGGATGATCAGGTTTATCTAAGATTGCTATGGGATGTTCTGAGCATATCTTAGGAACTGGAAACTAGCCTCTAATTGCAGATATTCCTCCCCGATGAGACCTCAATAAAATTAAAATTATTATTATTTTTTAAAAAAAGACCTACACTGCAGTTGAGAATCCAACAGGCCATTCTATCTTTTCTGAAAGTAGGCTAATGAACTGAAAAGGGAAGCTCAGCTGAAAATAATTATTCCTTTTTCAGCTTCATTTGCATGCCCTTCAGTATTTCACTATTAACATCTTGATTTAGTGTATAAGTATATGCGAAGAACAATTGGTCTGAGCCCCTGAAAAAAAAAAAATCCCTTGGCGTCCTTTGGGTTTAATTGTCCCCACACTCCTTGGCTTTAAGAAGAGAAATGGTTTTTTTTTTCACTTTAGTAAGGTGGGCAGCTAAAGCCCTGTGGATAGCAAATGGCTTCTTTCTGTTTCTCTATTTTTTTTAAAAAAAAGGAAAAAAAATGAATTGCATTGCATCAGAGGCCTCAGAAAGCAATGTTCTGTGATTGTTTTTATATTGCTTCAGTAACTCTAGAGCATTTATCCATGTAATAGCATGGTCTTCTGCTTCGTTGCTTGCATTGGCCTCATGCTTCAGTAGCTTTGCTTGATAGGATTCAGATGGAATGCTGCTTAGGATATTTTATGTATCAGAATGAATATTATAGCAAACAAGTCAACAAGACATAATCAGCTTGACTTGAAAAGCTAATTAGGCTTTAAGTTTAATATATAAAATTATGGGAGCCTAAACCATCTTGTTTATATGCAAATGTTGCTATTTGTGTTGAATTTGCAGCCTGAATTATTTGGCAAACAAATAATTGGAGAGAATATAAGATTCTTTTGATTCTGCCCCCTACCAATGCAATTGCCCAGGCATTCCATTATGTGCAATGTTGACATTTTGTCCTTGCTTAAGTAGTTTGTTGATATAACTTTAATCGCATCTTGAACAGGAAGATGTAACCTTCTGGAATTGGATGCCATGGATCAAAAGATTTTGGATTTCAGCCTAATGCTGTGACTTGATCCCCTGCATTTACCAGGCTGAGCCCCTTCCTCTAACAGACTCTGTCCTCTATCAGCTTGGCCATCATCACCAATGGTTACAGAGGATATAAATGAAGACCACCCATATTACTAGAGGTTATAAATATGTATCCTTAATGAGTTGGAGTAGCAAGGACATCTTGTCCAAGAAACTTCCAGATCTGAAGCAATTATGCGTGTGCAAGTATGCTGTATGATGATAAGCCAGCAATAACGTTCTGCTCCATTTATGGACAACACCCAAGAGCTTTCAAAGGCTTTAAAATTAGGATGGATCATTAAGAGGAAAGAAACTAGCAAGAAAAAAAAATGATGCAATAAGGCTGCCACAGGCTGATCAGACAAGTCATTGATTGGTGTCTTAATGTAGATAACACATGACTTTTAGACACAAAGCTTTCCAAAGCTTTAAGTGCAGCCTCCAAAGTTCCTTCAAAGAATTCTATTCAATAATACTTTATAATGTTGTCGAAGATTGTCCTATCCTTCCTCCTGATGTTTTGGTGTATATCGCTCCTGAAACATCATGCCGAGGACCAATGTATCCCTGCCTTCCCTCTCTTGGTCATCCTACCACCATTCTTTCATGCTGGCAAACCGTTCCAAACCTGAGGGACCCGGGGCTGCCTTGTCCTCCTCCACATGTTCCTCCAAAGCCAACGAGGCCGCCCCCTCAACCTTTGTTGGCCCCAGTTCCAGCTGCTCCTGCACTGCAGATTCAGGCTCTAACAGGGCATGACACATACAGTATCAGCCTTGTGAACTCTCAAGCTTCCTCTTTCCGCTATGTATTCAAGATGGACAGTGATTAATATTTATGTGTGTCATGCCCCTGTTGGAATCTGATTCGGAGGAGGAGGCCAAGCAGCTGACAGGGGTAGGAGTGTGGCTCTGTTGGCTATGGAAGAAACTGGGGAAGGGCAAAGTCTGGCTGGACAGAGCAGGGGAAAGGTAGAGCAAGGCAGAGGGAATTCAGAGGAAGACCTCGGCCTACCCCCTCTTCATCCTAAGGCACGCAGGGAGAAACAGAGAAGGAGCAATGTGAGTTGTGTAGCTTATGGGGAAGGAAAGGGCCCTGATTCCATTAGCTACAGCTGGGAACACAGTGTTTAAAAGGGGAAGTTGCACACAGCAAGTTGTTGGGAGCAAATTGTGAATTATCTGGTATCGTCGAGGCTTATCTGGATTCCTGGCATCTTCCCAACTGTGTGTGTTTGGCTGTGCTTTCAGGTCTGCAATTCCTTCGCATGCCCTGTCAAGTTAATTACTGCAGCATGGTTTGTTTGGACTTTTAGTTATAGTATGTATGTACTTTGTTTTCAGACTGAATTTTCTTCACTTAAAGGCTGTTCCTGAGAGACTCTTTCTCCAGCCGAAGATAACCTGGACATTGGGGGCAAAGTTGGAGATAATTAAAGGGACTCTTCTTGCTTATTTAACTGTGTTGCCTTTGTGCCACGCCCTGGGTCATCACATATATGTATTTATATGTTAGGATGTACATATGTATGTATATAGCAAATCTATATCTGTGTTATGTATGTGTACACTTTTGAGAGCAGGCAACAGAATTTCATTTTTAATGTGTGCCTGAGTGCTCACAGGAAAAAAAAAAGACAATAAAAGTAATCCTATCTTACCTTTGTTCCATTTTCCCAGTTTAAATGTTTGATATTTGCTCATGTTCTAATAAATATTAAGTTGCATTTTTACTACTTGAACTGACTGGCACGTATAGTTGCTTTAGCCTTGATTTAAAGCCTGACTAGGAATGTGATGGGGCAAATAAAACTGGAAATTATCCTTAATAATTTCCAACCTTCCAAGTGTACTAGATACTGCAAATTAGGATTCATTTCTATCAAAGTGAAGAAGATAAAGAGAGCATGAATGTCAAATAAATTTGACAGTATTGCTTACAGAATAACATAGCATGTTTATTAATGATCCCAATTATTTTATATACACTGTTCAAAATGCTTTAGACAGACTATTTTAATCAATTAATTCAATGTAATTAATTCATCAAGAAATCAATTTTTAATATCCTGCATTCTTCTAATGCAGCTTTTGTAGTAGGTTCTACTTACCTTTTTTAATTTTATTTTTCCTGATTTCTTTCTCCTTATTCCATCTCTGTTTTATTTATGGGCATCACATGGCTTTTATTTCCTCCTCCAAAATATCACCCCTCTAAAATACATTTATCTTAGTGTACAAGTACTAAATCACGTTTAGAATACAGAATTCGATTTACTGCATTGGACTGTGCATCAGATTCTAGCAAATTAACAATAAATTTTCATGAAATGATTTATACTGAACATTGGCCTTAACACTGCCAATTCATCGAGAGCTTACTGTGTATAAATATTCATAGTAAACAAACAAATATATTAACTATATTATGCTTGCTTCAGTATCATTCAAACAATTACAAAATTTATGACTGGGAAGTATGCAATCAAATATTTTAAACAAATTTATTGCTCACACACACCAAAAAGCCCTACCAAAATCACTTGAATAAGAATAAAATTAGTCCAATTTTAAAAATTCTCAAACTAAGGATGCTGATCTAGAATACATGTAATGAAAAAAAAAATTTCATCCATTTTTTAAGGAAAAAGGGAAGTTGGGGAAATAAAAGAAAGGAGCTACCATAGGTATTAGTAATCTATCTCTTGCTGCCACTAATACTTCATCTTGAAGCCATTGGCAAATGCTGGCTATTCCATTGCTCCATAGTATTCAGGAATTGTGCTGGTATTTGCAAGCTGAAGAACCTAAAGATTCAGAATCTAAAGCTGCAGAACCTATCAATGTCAGGTGCAAGAAATCAGAAGCCAGGATATAGTCCAAAAGCATTGTGATCTCATTCCGTGCTACCTATACCCAAGAATCTGATCTACTAACAGTCAAGGCAAATTGGCATTGGATAAGAATAAATGAACTTCAAGGTAAGGGGAGGGACAAAGACTCTTACAAGAACTCCAAACTAATGATGCATTTGACCCCACCATTGGATGCAGTCTGATCATTGCCTACATCAAGGAAATAAGAAGATATCCAATAGAATATTTCTCTAGTATGTTAAAAGGGCTGATATCTGACATCCAATGGGTCCTATAGAAGGTCCCTAGCTATGTAGTGGCCTTTTAAGGTAATTACTAGACTACTGGACAAGATGATCTGGCCTTGGGAATGGCCTCCAGTGGAAATGTTAAAAAAATACAGTTGAATGGCTAATTGTAGGTTCCATAGAATCCCCACATAGAATATAATTCTTTATTGGCCAAGTGTGATTGAACACACAAGGAATGTGTCTTGGTGCATATGCTCTCAGTATACATAAAAGAAAAGATACATCAAGAATCAAGAATCATAAAGTACAACACTTAATAATAGTCATAGGGCAGTGGTGGGATTCAATTTTTTTAAACTGCCAGTTCTGTGGGCATGGCTTGGTGGGCGTGGCAGGGGAAGGATACTGTAAAATCTCCAGTCAGAGGTGGTATTTGCTGGTTATCCAAACTACTCAAAATTTCCTCTATCGGTTCTCTAGAACTGGTCAGAACCTGCTGAATACCACCTGTCATAGGGTATAATAAGCAATCAGTAATCAAATCATACTAGGAAACAGTCAATAAAAGTTGTTAGGATTCAAGCAACAAGGTTACCGTCTTACAGTCATAAGTAGGAGGAGATGGGTGAAAGGAAAGATGAGAGGATAAACTTACTTCTCTCAAAAAGTAATTTTACTTATTCAGTTTATGGTTTGATTTCTTACAGACTTGATTTATAAACTTACAGATTTGATTTTTAAAAGATGGTTGCCTTAAATTCTTGCAGAGAGCTGGTGGTGTGGAGTAGGTTGTTGTTTGCCTTTCTCATGAAAAATTCTCACAGAATTATCATCCCTAGCTTTCACTGGAAATCACTACTTATGCTGTGAAACAGGCAGAGTTGACTCCAGGTTTCATCGTGTCTTTTATAGCTTTTAGAAGTGAAAGGCTATCAACTGGTTCTCTTTGCAATTATTGATGCCCAGAGGGATTTCAATAAGTGGTAATGCTTCCGGCAGTCTGTATACATTCTGTACAGATTTGTAGATGATACTTTCTCTTGGAATTCTCATCATTTCCTGAAAAATGTAGTGTCTCTTCTAAATGCCTTTCTTTTCTTGCCCTTTTTTTACTGTAAAGATATCTATTTACAAACCCTTCTTTTTCTAGAAATAGCTGAACTGAGTCATTTTAATTTTACTCAGCTTTTATTTTTTTTAGGATATTATTAACATGGATTGGGAGGCTGTACAGGGATGTGAGGAAGTATGTGATGGGTGTGCCAGGGAGAGTGCATGAGGTGTGTGGAAAGGTGAGGGAGGCACAGGAAGGATATGCAGAAGTGTGCAAGTGTAAGGTAAGAAAGTATCTCTGAAATGATATGGCCCAACGGGTCATAGGTTGTCTATATTATTTACATTATTAAGATACTGCATATGGACAGACACATGAACAATACAAAACAGAAATATAGTCAGCATTAGGCTACAGAACTCAATGAAACCTGTCGTTTTAAGGGGCTTATTCAGATTTAGCAGATCATTAAAGACACAATAGCCCCCTTTAAAACCCAATTAAAAACCCAATTATAAACCAAAATTAAAACCAGAAAACATAAGAAGCAGGCAAGTCACAGATATAGTCATCTAGCAGGCTCTGAATTACAACCGGATCCCCAGGCACATTGATAAAGTCACGCTAACTGGAAAATTCCAGGACTTGAAGTTCACATAGCTTAAAGTCGACAAGGTTGAAAAACACTGTTCTAGATCCTTTCAGAAACTCAAGGCCAATCCAAGTTCAGAGGGATGATTTGTAAAGGGTAGGCAGTGTGACAGACCCTCTCTTTCTGGGTCCAATTAGATAACACTCCTTAATATTCAGGACCCATAACATGACTTTCCTAGTGAACTGATAGGATTGGTAGATGTCACTGTGGTGAGGCGCTCCTGAAATAACCCTTGGGCTGTTGAACAAATCAATTCCCCTTCATCCTTTAAATGTCCACTACAAAGTCTATATACCTACCCTACCTTCTGGGTTGGGTGTCCAACTAATGTCTCTTCTCTAACTTCCAAGAGATTCAATTCTCCCTTGGCCAGTTCAAGTGATTTCTTCTCTGATACAGCCAGCTAGTTCCTCTCTCTTTGAGTGTTGGCCTAACTGTCAAGTGATGCATCCCAAGACCTTATTAGCAGCAGTGAGAAGACTTCCAGCTGCACAGAGTGATTCAGGGTCAAAAATTCTTGTGCTTTACACTTTTTACCCTCTTGACTATTTATGGGTATCCAATAAAAGAAAATAGTTGAAGTTCAGGGTTGCACCCTGAACTTCAGCTATTCTTGATTCTTTTCTAAGGTTCTTAATTCTTCTCTTAGTTGTTTGCTTGCAGACATTTCATTATCCAACTTGGAAACATCATCAAAGTGATGAGTCCCTGTTTATATATAATAGCTTGCCCTGCCTGTTTTGGGATGTTTTCTTCCTTGGTGGTTCTTTGATTATAGTATTGTTTTCTGTCTGATTGGTGTTTATTACATATTTGAAAACCTAGGAAGGAAACAAAACAAAGAGATTAAGGGACTCAAGATTCAGATAAGCAGGAATCAGCATTAGACAAATCATCAGGGAGAAACCAATACTGTAATCAAGGAACCACCAAGGACGAAACTATGCCCCCACCAAAACTTAAACTCTTTCCAAAATAACTTGCTTCTCTATTGTTTGAGATAGAAACCTTCCAATTCTGATTATCTTATTTACAAGCAGCCATTTTATCTTTTCTTTAAATTCTTCCTGTATTTACTTTAGCAACTCTGAAGTTGCTGCATTTCTTCTTCTCCTGACTTACTCGTGGTACAGCAGTGGTGGGATTCAAACTTTTTTTACTACCGGTTCTGTGGGTGTGTCTTGGCTTGGTGGGCGTGGCTTGGTTGGCATGGCAGGGGAAGGATATTGCAAAATCTGGATTCCCACCCCACTCCAGGAAGAAGGCTACTGCAAATATCCCCATTCCCTCCCCATCCCACTCATCTGCTTTCCAGCTCCATTCTCCTGTGCAGGGCTACAAAAGAAGACCCAGCCGATCAGCTGGGACTTGAGAGGCAGAAAATGGATGGGGGCGGGGCCAGTCAGAGGTGGTATTTGTCGGTTCTCTGAACTACTCAAAAGTTCCACTACTGGTTGTCCAGAACTGGTCAAAACCTGCTGAATACCACCTCTGTGGTACAGAGTTGTGCAATTAGTATCCCAGCACCCAAGCTAACTTCCTAACTTCTCTTTTCTACTGCAACAACTTAATGTAATGCATTTTGTATGCATATTCCCCAATGTATACATTTCTATACATTTTCGAGCTACACACTGTATCACAGAATTTGGAAGAATGCAAATAGTAGATGTGGACAGCCAGCACCAGATCATGTCAATGGTAAGGGAAGTTGGAAGTTATAATTCAGCAGTATCTGGATGACAAAAGATCTCCTACTTTTACATAGGTTTGGAAAGTGCAGATTAGATAAATCCTAATTAGCTAATAAGATATAAATATAGATCTTTCCATTGCTAATTCTTTCCTGAAGTAGCTTAAACACATTAAGTATATTTTTCCTTTCAAAGATGTCGCATTACAGGTTAAGATTGGTTGGTGGCTCTATTATCATGCCCAACTGGTTAACTCAAATGGATGCACTGAAACATTTTAGTGCCTGAGTTCCAAGGATAAATTTTGCTTCCTTATCTTTAATTAGACCCAATTAGTCATATTTTGAAGGGCATTAGAAGCCTGGTTTGCAGGAGCGGGTGAGTAACAATAGGATGTAGGCTGTCAACTTAATGAACGGTTCCCACTCAACCGCAGAATAGCTGACACCAGGTGACTTGGGCCTGTCGCTATTTCTCAGCCCATCCCTGTCCTATAGGATTGCTACTGAAAAGCTATATGAGAGCAGACTCCAAGGGCATTGCTTTGACTTTCAAAACAAAAGGACAGGAATGGGCATAAATAGATGAAGTGCCTCCAATTTGCCTTATACTTAGTAGAGCGAGGTTGTGTTTTATGAGGTGGAAGCTGCTCAGGTAATAAGCAAAACAGAGCCAGTGGATTCTTCCCATCTGCCTCTGGCAAAGAAATCCCCTTTTAGCCTTTAACTAAATTTGTGGAATGCCTGTGAGATTAAAGTGGCCCCTGATCGCTGTAGCAAGATAACAGAATTTGGAGAAGATGGCAGTTTATGCATCAGTGAGAATTCCAATTGCTTTTCTGTCCCAATTTGAATTAATTCTGCACTGAATGCAATTGACCAATATTTGCAGGTTGTAGTACAGTTCTTAGTACTGTAGGTAATGATTTTTTTCTCAGTTCTGTCTTATGGTTATACAGTATAAAATGTAATCTAAAAGGGCATTTTGATTGCATGTACTGCAAAAGTTTGCCAATGTATCCTCCATATCCCATGTCATCTCCTCTCTGAGCAGCTAAACTAGGCTCCATTTTAACATTTAGATTAATGTCAGCTTCTTAAGAACTCAAAGGCAATAGCAGTGAGATGCCTCAAGTAGTGAAGTCACTGCTGGTCTTTTCAAAGTTTGAAACTTTTGTGGGACTTTATGCAAAAATGGGATAGTTGAAAAACTCACCATGGTCATTTTGCTTCTATATTTCAGGTTAATTTTGAAGGGCCATCCAAAATGAATTCAGTGGACTGTGGATCACCTACCAGCATAAGTCTGGCATCCTGATCCAGTTGTTTTATAAATAGTCTGTTGGTAATAGAGGTTAGGGGGTGAAATGTAGATTAATGATGGTGTTAATTGTAAATAATACCTTAAAAGATTTTAGATTTGCAGTAATTAAAATGTACCCCTCTAGGACTAGTTCACATGTACTTTAAGATAGTCTTGATTTTGGCCATGGGGGTGTGGATATTATAGCACTGCGAGAATCAAAATGGTATCAAAAATCCACAAAAGTGCAATAGAAGCCTTCTATCTTTTATGTGAGTTTAGGTACAATGTGCATTAAAAAGAGCGAAGGCTTTGATTGCATGGTCATGATTGCCATGTTGAGTTTTTCTGACTCCTCCCGCCCACCTTACATCCTGAGAACATTGCTGATTTAGTGGATCTGAAAGATGAGCAGGCTGAGCCCGAGGGAGGGATTAAATGTGTCATCAGTTTGGAATCATTGTGCAGCCACAACAGAACTAAGCCTATCACCTCCATAAATTCCATTGAGCCTTCAACTTCCCCAGCAAAGCTGACTCGGGAATTCTGACAGTTGAAGTCCACACATCTAAAAGTTGCCAAGGTTGAGAAGCATTGCTGTAGACTACAGGTGTCAGGTGATGTATCGTGATGTTTTTCCCCCTTTGCAGAGCTGGGGTGGGCATGATGCATCTGGTCCATAGGCTGCCAGTTTGACACCCCTTCTCTAGACTGAACAGTTTTGCCTTTGAAATTACTGAGTTTAACAAGTTGCTAAAAGTGCTACTGTGCTTAATTTCTGATTTAACTGCATAGAAAGGAACTGCTTGGTGGCTGCGTACTGAGGCAAGCTAACTCAGCATAACATTTCAGAAACAAATTATATGGGATCACTGCAAATAATTAAGCGGTGTCATTCTTGATTACCTTGGTTAATGAAGAGGCAAGCCAAGTGCTA